CCTCCACCACTTTCCCAGGTCACGAGCAGGAAGCTGGATGGGAAGTGGAGCAGCCGGGACATGAACCAGTCCCCATATGGAATGCTGGTAGTTCAGGTGGAAGCTTAGCCTGCTATGTATGCTGTGTCACTAACCACCACCCCCCCAATTTCTACTGTGAGTAATGTGAATACATAAAAAGCACTTTGCTGATGAATCTTCCATATGAGCCCACTTTCTGTTAGAAGCTGTGATAATAAGTACTCTCAGCCAAAAGGCCCAAGTAGAGACAATTCCTTCAAGATTTTGGACAGCCTAAGTAATCTCTTCAGTAGAGCTGTTCACTGATTGCTATAACTACAAAGATTATTAAGAACACAGAAGTGGAAATGATAGGCAAAAACTTTCAGTTTAAAACTAACTAAATATAATGGGTCCAGTGTGGTAGCCTAGCAGCCAAAGTCCTTGCCTTGCACATGTTGGGATCCCATATGGGCACTGGTTCTTATCCCAGCAGCCCCACTTCCCATCCAGCTCCCTGTTTGTAGCCTAGGAAAGCAGTCAAGGACAGCCCAAAGCCTTGGGACCCTGCACCCACGTGGGAGACCTGGATGAGGCTCCTGGCTTCAGATCGGCTCAGCTGTGGTGGTTATAGCCACTTGGGGAGTGAATTATCGGACAGAAGATCTGCCTCTCTGTCTTTCCTCCTCTCTATGTCTCTGAATTTCCAATAAAATAAGATAAATCTTTAAAAAAAAAAAACTAAATACAAAACCACAAGTAGCTTCCTTTTACCAATTTTAAATGTAGGAGAGCTCACCTTTACTGTTATTTGCCTGGGGTATATTTCCTAGCAAAATTCTTGCCATTCTGTATTATTTTTTTTTAAATATTTGTAAATTATTTGAAAGGCAGAGTTACAGAGAGTTAGGGAGAGACAGAAAGTAAAAGAGATCTTCCAGCTGCTGGTTTACTGGCCAAATGGCTGCAATGGCTAGAACTGAGCCAGTCCAAAGCCAAGAGGCAGAAGCTTCTTCCAGCTGTCTTATATGGTTGCAGGGGCCCAAACATTTGATCCATCCTCTGCTGCTTTCCCAGACTCATTATCAGGGAGCTAGATTGGAAGAGGCGCATCCAGGACTTGAACTAGTATCCATATGGGATGCTAACACTGCAGGCAGCAGCCTTACATACTATGCCAGAACACCTACCCAATACATCATTTCCATACTGATACACTGATGCCTAATTGGCTACCTTCTTGGTGAGGTCTTTCCTGATCTTTGGTGAGCCACATACAAAAAGGGGTCACTTAAGATACGCTGTAGTGATATAATTTTCCTGCTCTGCTTTCTAGTTGGTTTTACTTTAAGTATCATCTATTGTCATTCTATTTATTTCCACCCTGGTACTTATAAAATGAGCAATCAAATAACTAATCTGTCTACAGTCTCCATATCTACAGATTGAGGCAATTGAGGATAAAAAAATATTCTTTTAAAAAACCTGCATTTTTTGGGCCCGGCGGCATGGCTTAGCAGCTAAAGTCCTTGCCTTGAACGCACCAGGATCCCATAAGGGTGCCGGTTCTAATCCCAGCAGCTCCACTTCCCATCCAGCTCCCTGCTTGTGGCCCGGGAAAGCAGTTGGAGGACGGCCCAAAGCCTTGGGACCCTGCACCTGCGTGGGAGACCCGGGGGAAGTTCCTGGCTTCAGATCAGCATAGCATCGGCCATTGCGCTCACTTGGGGAGTGAATCATCTGGCAGAAGATCTTCCTCTCTGTCTCCCCTCCTCTCTATATATCTGACTTTGCAATAAAAATAAAATAAATCTTTTAAAAAAAAACCCTGCATTTTCACTATACATGCACAGATTTTTGTTATTACTCTCTAACACAATATAAGAACTGTTACATGCCATTTACTTTTATTAGGTATTACAAGTAATCTATATGCAATTTAAAGTATATAGGAGAACGGCTTATGTTATATGCAAATGCTATACTACTATATATAATGGGCACAAGTATTTCCAGATTTTGGTACCCATAGTGGGGACTAATCCTTCTCCCACTAGATTTGAGTTTCAGATCAGTATCTTCCCAAATTTCCAGGCTGACCATGATGCTTGGTTTATCAAAAGTATTTAAAAACGATTTGCTATAAGGATGGATGAAGGAATTCTGACCTCACAAATGTAATAGGTTAATTCATATTCTTGGTATGCCATTCATGGCTCTGACCTAGACATTCGGGTTTACATTCTGTCTGTTTCTACCCCTACATATGAGGATAACTCAAAATAGTATGAACTGACAATGTCATGAAGAAGCTATGTATGAATTTCAAAATCTTTTTGACCCAAATACAATTATCCTTTAATTTCATTCTCCATAGACTTGTTGAAGAACCTTCATATTACCCCAGCTGGAGGCAACTGCCTAGGTTTATTGTACCTAGGCAAGTGTTACACTGCTGGGAAAAAAGTACCTTAATAGATGGCAGGCATCCTGGGCCTGGTTAATACCAAATTTTATGTTAACCATACCAGTGTGCCAAAATACTTGTCTTTTTTTTTAAGATATGTTGGGCTGGGGGGCAGGCGCCAGTGGGGCCGACTCTGGTAGGCCAGCAGACAGGATCTGGACCAGTGAACTCAAAACTCCATCTACGGGAAAATTACAGGATCTTTGGTCTGACTGCAGTGCATGTATCAGAACGGGGTCTCCTTGGTTGTTGAAGCCTGTGCAATGGAGAATGTGCCCAGATGCTCATGGAGGACATGACAACCAGTTCACTGAGGCCTGCAGAAGACGTCTAGCACCATGGTGGGCAGAACAAATTGTATAGCTCTTCCTGTCAGGCTTTGACAGATACTATCCGGGTGAGGATTTGCCCAACCTTGGAACAAGAAAATCAACAGCATTTCAGAACTATGAAAACCACTTTAGCAGTATCCTCAGAACCCAGGGACCCTGGAATGACATTGGGTGGCTTTCCCTCATTCCAAGGTAGTGATGCAGTTGGGATTCTCCGAGAGGCCCTCTCCCCTTCTCTCCTTACTTCTGCAGATACGTATAAAAAAAAAAAAAAAGAAAGAAAAGAAATTGGAAACAAATGTGTCACCCACTTTCCCTCATTCCTCACCCCTCCCACCCTAATCAGTGGTCCACAAGGTCATGTATTCTTAACTATGTAAACATCATCAAAATAAATTTATTATAAAAATTTATAAACATATTTTTAAAAATTATTCTATATCTCAAACACTCTTCTTATAAAATAATTTATCTTTCATGGCCCTGCTCCAATACACCTTTTTTGTGAAATTATCTCCAGCCCTTCACAAATACACACATACGCATCACTACATACACGTACACGTTGCTTCCCCTGCTAAATTCCAATAAAAGCTATAATGCTTAGAGTGTTACAGCAATAATACTGTAATAATGATACCTACCATTTCACTGAGCACTTGCATTTATGTAAGGGAGCACTATCCCAAGTACTCACGACTAGAATCCACTTCCTGATGGCAGGCACAATGGCTTAAAGCCTTGGTGATCCTAAGATCCTAGTAAAGGGTCTACAAGGTCCTATGTCCTTAACATAGATTTGTCAAATGACAAATTCTGACAGTAGTCCCTGTCCACTAACTATTTTGAAAATGGCAATCCCAATTAAAAAAAAAAAAAGACAGTTGTCTTAAAGTAGGTATACAACTTTCAACTTAAATTAAAACAATGAAAAGTTTCATTTTATCATAAAAATAAAAAGGAATTGTAATATTTGGCATTGTCAGGCTATGGAGAAGTAAGTACTCTTATAAGCTACATACAGTTGCTTACTACAACACTGTAACAAAAAAAAATGACTGGAGACAACTAAAATATGTACCCATGGAACAATAGTAAGTTAGCTAAATAAACTGTGATATAACCATACCTATTAAATTACATGTGGGGCTGGCACCATGGCTCATCAGGCTATTCCTCTACTCTGTGGCGCTTACATCCCATATGGGCTCTGGTTCGTTTCCCGGCTGCTCCCTTCCCAATCCAGCTCCCTGCTTGTGCCCTGGAAAGCATCTGAGGATTATCCAAATTCCTAGGACCCTGCACCCACATGTGGGAGACCCAGAGGAGGCTCCTCGCTCTAGATCAGCTCAGCGGCCATTTGAGGAGTGAACTAGTAGATAGAAGACCTTCCTTCTCTCTCTCTCTCTCTCTCTCTCTCTCTCTCTCACACACACACACACACACACAAACACAAACACATACACACACACTCACACAGACATACCAGGTAACCAATGAGGATTAAAATTTTCACTTTATAGGTGTATTACATTCAATTTAAAAATCCAAATATAAAAGGGGGAAAAGATCTGAACAGATATTTCATCAAAGAGGATATAAGGTTACCAAATAAGTACATAAATGATGTTCAAGATCCTCAGCCATTAAAGAAATTAAATTAAAATCATGATGAGCTGCCACTGTATACCTATTAGGAGTACTTAAAGCAGAATTACTGAAGATACCAAGAGCTGTTGAGGGTGTAGAGTAAGCAGAGCTCTCACACACAGCTAGTCCGGGTGCAAAATGGTGCAGGCGCTCTGCAAAACGGCATGGCAATTTCTTAAAAAGTTAAGCATACATTCACCATATGATCCCGCCGTCCCACTTCTGAGTGTACTAGTCAGCATGAAAAATGAAGGAAGTCAGTCTCACGAGGTGACATGGGATTCCATGTACATGGTACCCTTGAAAAAAAGAAAACCACAGAGACAGGGAAAAGATCAAAGGCAGCCAGGACTAGAGTAGAAAGGAGGTCTAAGTTCAAATTGATAGCAAGACAGAGTTTTGTGGGGAGTTGAATTGTTCAGTGGTGGAGGCTACAAGACGCTAGGCTTGTGTGAGAACTCACAGGACTGCATGCCAGAAAGTAAATGAAATAAATGACTCCACATAAAACTGTAAACATTTTTTTAAAGCTGGATCAGTAGTCATGGTACCTTCTATGTCTCGGTCTAAGGGAGGAACATCATCTCTCATGGAGAAGTCCATAGCTGTGCCTGGTATGTCCATCAGGTCTTCATCACTGGAGCTGCTCCGGAAGCTACAAAAACTCCCCTGCTTAAAGCCTCTGTTATCCATGGCTCCTGTGCAGAAAGACAAATAGGAGGTTTATAACAACAACCTCCAACCCCAGAAACACTTATTCTTTTCTTTGTATGGCAGTAAATACACATAACACCAAATATATAAGCTGTGTAATTTTGAAGTAGGCAATTCAATAGCACTGATTTCATTTATAATGCTGCACAATCATCTCTACTATCCATTTCTAAGACCTTTTTCTGTCATTATCGGCAGAAATTCTGTGCCCAGCAAACAGTAATTCCTCATGCCTAAGCCCTCAGTAACTTCCATACAAATGGAACTGTACTATATGTGGCCTTTTTTTCTGGCTTGTTAGACTTAGCATAATGGTTTCAAGATTCATCTGCTGTAGAATATATCAGTATTTCATTCCTTTTTATGACTGAATCATATTCCATTGTTTGAATAGAACACATTTTGTCTATCCACTCACCAGTTAGTGCATATTTGAGTAATTTTGACAAATGGGTTGCCACTTGTGCCTTCTTCCATGTTTTACCTTGATGATATCTTTTTTTACATTTAAAAATATTTTATTTTGTGTTATGATATAGTTCAATAGGCTCTGGGGTTGCCCATGCCTTTCCTCAAGGTCATCACCCCATTGATTTCCCTTCTAGTCCTACAATGGATGTCCTTCATGAACAGTCACAAGTCCATCATGCTGCTGTTGACGTGTCTCGACAGTGTAGGCATGGACATTGTCAGAGAGTCCATCATCTTACTGTTAGGATATTATCGATTCTTTCCCCAGGAGTGCACCCTTCAGTCTGAATGCATAGAGACACACAGCACTTTGTCTCCATATCTGAACATCTCAGTCCCCACTACACTTCCATTATCTATCCCCTAAAATACAGAACTAATGAGTACAGTCCACAAGAGGGTGAAAATAATAAATTTTCATCAACATGAAGTTAACAAACATGCTACAAAAATAAAAATGCATCACAAGAGTAATTATCTCTATACAGAAACTACTTAATACACTGAATAGATGTAACATATCTGTAACCTTCACCATGCAATTGGTAGTTTTTATTTTTGGAAAACAATTCAAATGAGCATACAGGAGATAAGGACATGTGCACAAATTTAATGGTAGTTCACAATCAATTGAAATAAAAATTAGACATAAGTATTGAGAAATGTCTTAGCCTGACTAAACCAGAGCTTTACACAAAATAGATGCACAGAAATGACAAATGATTGGCACAAGGAAAATGAGGCATACTTTGCCATCTAAATGATGTTCTCTGCTAAATAATTTAATATGAAAATGAAAATTCTCTACCTCAAGTATAAATATTCAGATAACAAATTTTAATTAAAAAATTTAAATCCTCACTGCAAGAAACAACATTATACTCAGCTTTATGTAGCACTGCCTTCCCCTCATTTCCAAATATGATTGATTGTAAAGGCAAAGCAACAGAGATGGAGCGACAGAGATTTTTCCATCTACTTTTTCATTCCTCAAATGATCATCACAGCCATGGGTGGTCCAGGCTGAAGTCAGGAGCCAGGAACTCTCATCCTGGTCTTCCGTATGAGTGACAAGGACCCAAGCTGCGGAACCATCATCTACTTTCCTCCCAGGTGCATTAGCAGGAAGTTTTCAGGAGCAAAGTAGCTGGGACTTCAATTTGTGAGCCAATATGGGCAAACGCTCACATCCTCAATATTCTTTAGTGCCCATAATAGCTGAGATCTGTAAAGTTAGGAACTGAATAATAGGATAAACTGGAGCATTATTATTTTGACATGATGCTATATGGTCAGGGAGGGAAAGAGACAAATCTGTGTCAGTATCACGATACTAAAAATGTATAAAACCACTGATCGTGAAGTCATTTAATCAACAACAGAAACTAACCTTGCTCTGTGGCTCCAGCAGGTGCTGAGATACTAATAATCCACACTTTGTAGTCTTAGTTGTACTCCTTCCCTGCTCAATAGCCTATGCTTACTGAATCTTTTCCCCTTGTCCTTGCTGTTTGCTTTAATTCCGTTCTCCTGAGAGCGTTCCCTTGATTATGCACTCAAACAAAACACCGTGTCTCAGCTCCCACTTCCACAGAACTGCATCTAGTACAGGACTCTTGCCATTTGTTTGTTTGTTTTCTTATTACCAACAATGCATAAGAAATACTGATTTCTTCACTGTTATCATCCAGGATAAAACCTTTCCTTTGGTGTTGATGTTGGTCAAACTGTTAAGAGTCTATCCAAAACCATTTTCAGTTTAGAGTTTAGGGCCTGTGCTGGCTTACATAGACTCTTCCTCCTTTTTTAAATGAAGAAAATATTTTTCTGCTTTAAATATTACTACATCCTTACAGTAGGATCCCTTATAATTTCTAATTAGACTTTTATGTTACATTACTTTATTTTCTTCCCATTCTTATACTTGCCAGGCCATGATACATTTACATGTCAGAAAGTTAAGCTTGCAATAGTAAAATGAATGACTAGGCCATTGTAATAATTTGGGGACAATTAACAAAAATATACACACATTATATATATAAAATGGCCTATATATATCCCTCTTTTGTTAATAGATAGATACATAGATAGATAGATAGATAGATAGGGAGGAAGGAAGGAAGGAGGGGAAGGCTGACCCTTATAAATCTGTATCGAGGAAAAACATAAGCAAATCTTTTTTTTTTTAATCTCTCCAGCCTACTAGGAAGTAAATATTGCAACACTGAACAAGGACAAGACCAGCAAACACTGTTTGGTAGTATTCAAACAATGCAACATTTAGATCTTGGAAACAAGGTTAATATATTTACACAGCATCACATGATGATATTGTCAAGTTAACCTTATTTCACTTTAAAAGCTTGTTGATTAATGGAGCATCACTATTACTATCTGTGTAAATACTATCTGTACAATCTTCATACTATTTATGTAAGAATGAGTTACTGTTAACAATAGACAGGGTTGTGAGCATATATGCATAACATGCAACAGCTGTAACTAAGGAAAATTAAATAGTTAATTTCTCTCTTATTAGCCCCTTTCTGGAAATGCTGACCATAACTTCTGACTCTATATTGTCAATGTTTTCTACTCTGGCTTTGAACTTGACATCAGTGAATTTTTGTCAAACCACTAATGTTTCTATGTTGACTGTTAACTGTCTTCCAGTTTGTCAACTGACCTTTAAAAAATAATAACAATAATAAACTTCCTGAAAAGTGACCAAAAGAATAAGCACATGAAACTGCTATGTGAAATGAAATTCTCAAACTTTTCTTAAGGTTCATAATCTTGATACACTTGAAGATTACAAACCAGTTACTCGATTGACAATCTTTTAATTTTGATTTGATCTTTCCTTATGAGTTTATTCAAATCCTTGACATATTAGAAAATTGATGCTGCATTCTAACTGCATCTTATCACAGGGCATATGCCTTTCATTTATCTCCAATTAATTATGTTATTTATTAGGTCACCTCATTAAATTGGTATCTTCAAGGTCTCTGCATTTTAATACATATTTTCTCCTTATAATAGAGATTATGTTCTGTTAATGACCCTTTGATTAAGGAAACATTTCCTATAAAACACTTTGCTGGGCCCAGCGGCATGGCCTAGCGGCTAAAGTCCTCGCCTTGAACATGCCAGGATCCCATATGGGTGCCGGTTCTAATCCCAGCAGCTCCACCTCCTATCCAGCTCCCTGCCTGTGGCCTGGGAAAGCAGCCAAGGACGGCCCAAAACCTTGGGACCCTGTGCCCATGTGGGCAACCCAGAGGAAGCCCCTGGCTCCTGGCTTCAGATTGGTTCAGATCCAGCCCTTGCGGTCATTTCGGGAGTGAATCATCGGATGGCGGATCTTCCTCTCTGTCTCTCCTCCTCTCTGTATATCTGACTTTCCAATAAAAATGAATAAATCTTTAAAAAAAAAACCACTTTGCTTAGTCATTCATTCATTTACATTTAAGTAGACTCCTATTTTGTTTAGTGAATTATAACCCATTGCTATTGTGATTCATTTTCATGTCTATATTTTCCACATTTGGCCAGGAGGGACCCCTTCAAGGTGGCTTTTATGTCCTTTTGACATGTGTCTCACCATGCTTTGAAAATTCGGTTAATTTACATCAAATATGACATTTCAGATTTGTCTTGCACTTCCATGTTTCTATCCCTAGGATTAGCCATTTCTTCATGGAAGCTTCAGGATTCTTCAGAGGCCAAAATCTAAGTGCTAAGTGTGCTCAATGCTACTGGGGTGTTGCTGCTTCCAAACTTTCTCAGTGGAAAAAAAAGTAGGGAATTCACATGCATACACACACACACACACACACACACACACAATTAACACACACGTAAGTACCTAAAAGTATACATTTAATCAATTTTCACATCTTAATATATTGATTATGTATAATATATAATACAATATATATATTCTCAATTATGTCTCTTATTCTAATCTAAAATGGCAGGGTCCAATTTTGTTTTAAGATTTATTCACTTATTTATTCAAAAGGCAGAGTGATAAAGAGAGAAAGATTTTGTATCTTCTGATTCACTCCCCAGCTGGCTACGATAGGTAGAGCTGGGCCAGACCTAAGCCAGGAGCTGGGAACTCCATCCGAGTCTCCCACATGGATGGAAGAAGCCCAAGCATTTATGCTACCTTCTGCATTCTTCTTAGGTGCATTAGCAGGGAACTGGAGCTGAAGCAGAGCAGTCAGGATTCAAATATCTGACACAGGATATAGATGTCCCAGAAGGGGCTTAAATCACTGCACCACAACACCCACGCCAACATCTTTTTTTTCTTTCTATATTTGTATGTTCTTTCACTGACCATAAGAAATATGAACAACAACAACAAATAAGTCTGGATCCAGCCTTAACAATATATTTTTTAACTTTTTGAAACCGCTCCTTGTATATAACCAATCTCTCTCCCCTCTCCTACCTTTTCCATACAGAGATGTGACATCTATTGGGTTCTGACTGACAA